GGGGGGGGGGGGTTGTTTTTATTTATTTTATTAAAAGCCACACTGCATGAAAAATGATAAATTGTACAATGTTAAACTATCATTAAAAAGTTGGGGGTTAAGTGCAGAGGGCCGCCGTAAATTATATAAATCTTACCTAGCAGTATGCAGACTCCTATGCATGACACAGAGCTTCTGAGTACTGAGAGGAGGGAGAGATGCGACTTGAGCAGTACAGTACTCCGGTTGTATCACCCGCCCCACCTCACTATTGCCTATTCACAAAATGTCTTGTATGTTTTCAAAGCATACAAGGTATTTTGGGACTGGAGGAAGAGAGGAGGAGCAGAGGGGTCTGTATCACTTCATATAGAAAGCTGACAGTTGCTTTAAAGAGGTAAACAAACGGCCTGTTTACCAGGCTCTTGCCGCAGTACACCTTACAGCAGTAGTGAACAGGAAGTAAACATAATTATATCACTGGAGAAAAGGCACTGGGCAGGCAAGTAAGAAAACCAATTGCTTAATTAAGGCATTATTTTTCAATGGGTTTTCAATATTTATGTAAGGCTGTCAAATGTATGCAGATGCAATTATGTAAATGGTTCCATGTTATTTGCAGAAACTGATTACAATAAATCTGCAGCAGTGCCGTCCGTCCGTTTTTCTACTACGGGCGGACGGCAAGAGGTTAAAGTGTATTTCCACTTTCGAAGCCAAATTGAGATAACACCTATTTTATATGTTACATGTTCCCATTCACAATGCAGGAGCTGAAAAATATTTTAAAAATGTATCTTGCAGTTTCAAGGTATGACGGGGGCTGGTCTCCAGTGATTCCCGACAGAATCTTGTAAATGACAGAGAGACCATGACGTGTGGGAGTCGGTGACCCCAATAATGATTCGAAGGGCAAAAAATATCTTGCAGTTTAAATGACTTTTACTTGGGTTAGGGTTTCTACTTGGCTCCTTAGAGATCTAAGAGAAATGCCTTTCTCTTAGATCTCCTGAGATTACAGATGAGACTTCCCAGCAATACTCTGCTGACAATCTTCCCAGGATGTGGTGCTTGCTGAGCTGTATGCTGATGTGATCTTTAGTCAAAAAAGGTAAAGGTCCACTTTAAGGGTTACATTTTCTCCTTGCTTCTTCTTTGTACTGTTAGGGAAGGGTTGTTACGAGTGAGGTTTTTTAAAACTTTGTCTAGGGATGCAACAATGAATCGATAATAATCGATGAGAATAGTTGGCAACTATTCTCATTATCGGTTAGGAGAGGGAGAGGATTTATTTTTTAATGCAACCAGTCGATTAATTGAAAAAAATCAATCGGGCAACTAATCGATTATGAAAATAATCGTCAGCTGCAGCCCTAACCTTGTCTGTACTGTGCTGGCTCATTCCATTATATTTTGTAAAGTAGATCTGAACACTGCCTGTCCTAACAAAGGGTTAAAGTATTAAAGCCTGGCTTCTCCATTGTATGTTAAGGGGAGAAACACAATCCACAAATTTAGTCCCAAGTCTTTCTACAAAAGGACAAATCACTGAGGTGCTCAGGAAAAAAAAAAAAACTTAGATTCAGCCATTTACGATCGCTAAAACATGGAAGACATCCAGGGTACCGCTGAGCCAGGTTAGGACTAAGCTGTCTTGGATTATGACTCATGAAAAATTGGCGAGTATTCTCCAAGACAAAATGGAACAGTTTGAGCTTACCTGGGCACCGTGGGCGGCATATGTAAATCCTGTAGGAGTATGAGAGAACGGGAGCGAAGGTCGAGCCCTAGCCCACCCCGACCAGAAAATTTTAATATGTTCAAAATTAAAACCTACTGCAACAGTTGTTATATAACCACATTGTTCTTTTTTTTGTTGTTTTTGCTTTTTGTTTTTTTATTATGTCTTTAGGTTTGTAAGGCAGTCTCAGGTCGACAGACTGATGTATGATACACTATAATAGGGATAACCTAGTAATCTGGTCTCGACTGTTCTTACACAAGCTTCTGGTAAGATAAAGGGATAGTCGACAAGTTCCTGGGTTTTTGACCATCGGTCGAGTGATTGCTAAACCCCAAGATAACAAGATGGGACGTAGGTATATCTTCAGGGGGTAAAATAGGAATAGTTCCGTTAAGGCCGAAGTTTGGAGCGGGAAGCTGGGCAGGGGGCCAGCTTGAGCCGAAATAAAAAACGGTAGGCTTGTGTCAACAATTGAGACCAGATACTAATCTATGTATACTGAATAGAGATGGAATAATAAGGCATCCCGCTCCGATGAAGACTGTCTTTTGGTTTTATGTTGTTCTGTTACATTGTAGTATGATGTAGATGGTTATTGTATATGCCTCAATGAAAATAATAAAAACTTTTGAATAGATTCAGCCATTTTGCCTGCTCCAACAAAACATCTAAAATAAATCTAAAATCTAAAAATGTTTTTTAGTTATCCAGTATGAACTAGAACACAATTATCAGGGATGTGGAATTTGTATCGCCTGACGCCCCGGACCTGCAGAATTACGTGCGCCGGGCAGTTTTATTTTCTACATTTAGTCCTGCTGAGGCCTAGCAGGGCTAAATGTAGATCAGGGGAGTCGCCGCTCATTTAGCACAAGTGACCTCGGATCACTTGTATCAAATGATCAGCAATCTCATCTTGGGAGAGGAATGTTGTCCCATTCTTGCCTGATATAGGATTCTAAGGCCCCTTTTCACACGGGATGATCAGGAGAGGATCCGTGAATGGGGTCCTCTACTGATCAGAGCAGTCCGTATAGCTTTTGAACTGAGTGCTGATAAGCTGGAAGGTCCCTCTTCTTTTTAGTTCAGAGGACGTGATGCCCATGGTTGCCAAAAAAGAATGTCAAATTTTGATTTGTTTGACCACAGAACAGTTTACCACTTTGCAAAATACCATATAAACACACACACACACACAACTCACTGGAACAATGAGACCCTGCCAGGTAAGGAGATTGGCTTCATCAACCTGGATATTACGGAAGTTTTTCATCCCAGATTTGCGGATCTCTTCAAGCTCCTGAGGTGAGAAAAAAAATTGAGTGTGAATGTGGTTTAGCCCACATTGAGACTTTCAAGAAGCCACATTAGTGTAAAAGGAACAAATATTATGAAACACATTACCCTCACAATTTTCATATGCTGTTCATTCCACAGAAAATCAAAAGCGGACCATTAATAACCGCCAAAGAGTTGGTAAAAGTAGAAAGGGCTCTTAAAGCATAAGGCAAACATGCTGGAGAAAAGGTAAGCCATGAGATACAAGAGGGGACATGTAAAATTAGGTATAAACACATCTCTGTTTAGCCCGAGATACTCAGGCTAATGTACGTTTTCCCAGATAAACTTTAAAGTGTACAAAAGACAAAACCTTTTTGTCAGTTTTACGATAGAGTAGGGAAGGGTTAGGGTTATTGTATCCTTACCGGGAAGACTGACCCCTCTATGTGCTCTGGTGACCATTGTTACCAAGCAGAAAGTGACAAGTGACCAAGACAGAAAATTTCAGAATTGTCACCAGAGCAAGAGGGAACAACTGCCCAAGACAGAAATCCATTCACTTCAATTATTTTTGCATCTCCAGCACTGGATGTGAAGGGAAATCTCCAGAGCAGGACAAAGGATGCAAAAATATCCCGATAAGGGTTTTCCTACTCTTTCAAAAAAAAAGTTTTGACTGTACATACACGATTAATGTTTGCTTGCCTGAATAAGCCTCAACATTAAACAGACACAAAACGGTAGAAATCAAATCTAGTTGATTACTTATAATCGGCCAACTAATCGATTATGAAAATAATCGTTAGCTGCAGCCCTACTGAACATAATATACAGTTATGGTCAAAAATATTGGCACCCTTGCATTTGTCAGATAATGCAGCACTTCACGCAGAAAATTGTTGCAATTACAAATGTTTAGGCATTCTCATGCTTATTCCTTTTTTTGTATTGGTATGACACAAAGTGAAGGGGAAAAAAAAACCAAATCCAACACATTCCACACAAAACTCCAGAAATGGACTGGACAAAATGATTGGCACCCCCAATTAATATTTGGTAGCACAGCCCTTAGGAAAAAATTACTGAAATCAATGGCTTCCTGTAACCATCAATGAGTTTCCTACACCTCTCTACAGGAATTTTGGAGCACTCTTCTTTCGCCAACTGCTGCAGGTCTCTCAGTTTGGAAGGGTTCCTTTTCCCAACTGCTTTTTTGGGGATCTCCCCACAGGTGCTTTATGGGATTCAGATCTGGACTCATGGCTGGCCAGTCCAGTACTCTCCATCGCTTTGTCCGAAACCATTTCTGGGTGCTTTTTGACATGTGCTTTGGGTCATTGTCCTGCTGTAAGACCCATGACCTCTGACGGAGACCCAACTTTCGGACACTGGACCCTACATTGCACCCCAGAATTATTTGGTAGTCTTCAGATTTCATAATGCCATACACAGTCCAGACATCCAGTGCCTGAAGCAGCAAAGCAACCCCAAAACATCAGTGAACCTCCACCATGTTTGACTGGAGGGACTGGATTTTTTTTTCTTTAAAAGGCATCATTTCTTTTTCTGAAAACAGTAGAATGATGGACTTTACTAAAAAGCTGTCATTTTGTTTCGTATGTCCACAGCACATTCTCCCAAAAGGATTTTGGCTTCCTCAGGTAAGTTTTGGCTTTATGTTTCTGGGGCTCCTCCTGGGTCTCCTACCATAGCGTTCCTTTTCATTCAGATGGCTTCGTATAGTGCTAGCTGACACAGTTGTACCCTGTGCCTGAAGGTCAGCTTGAATTTGTCTGGAAGATGATGGAGGGTCTTTATCCACCATTGGAACAATCCTTCATTGCAATCTTTGATCAATTGTTCTCTTTCGTCCACGTCCAGGGAGATCAGCTACAGTGCCATGGGCTGTAAACGTCTTGACAATGTTGCGCACAGTGGATCCAGGAACATTAAGATCTCTGGAGATGGACTTGTAACCTTGAGATTGTCCATGCTTTTCCACAAAAACTTGGAATACAATTATTTCTTGCAATTTGGAGACGGTGCCAATCATTTTTAAGCCAGTCCATTTTTGGAGTTGTGTGGAATGTGTCAGGTTTGGCTTTTTTTTTCTCCTCCACTTTGTATCATACCAATACAATCAAAGGAAATAAACATGAGAATGCCTAAACATTGTAATTGCAACAATTTTCTGTGCAAAGTGGTGCATTATCTGACAGAAATGCAGGGGTGCTAATATTTTTGTCCATGACTAAAATAAAAAATGTAAATGTGGGGTTTTTCATTTAGCATCAAAGTACAAAGAACCAATATCTGTGTAGTATGTATCTTATAAGTACTGCATAGGCTGTGGATCACAGTTCCTGGCCTTTCTTCCACACTGCCCCAAAAATGTCAACACCACCTTATCTATATTTCATACTCTAGAGAGTGTCTGCAATTGTGTGTCACTGGTAGCAGTCCTAGCTAATCAGTGACAGCCTTGTTCAGCCCCCAACATTATCCACCTCCCTCTGCAAGCTGATATGTGGAAAAATGTAAAGGGGCACTCTAATTATTAGCTGTCCCCATCTGGGTGCCCCCCTACATTAGGTCCTAATGCAACAGGGCCCTCCCATGGGCAACCCCTCACGCAACAGGGCCCTCCCATGGGCAACCCCTCACGCAACGGGGCCCTCCCATGGGCAACAGACCATGACACTCACTTCCACAGGTGACCAGCGGGATAGGATTTGCCATAACCATTACATTACTCTAAGGCAGCATACATAGCTAGAGTCCTGGAATAATGCAAGAACTTTAACCTAAAAGACAATTGTCCCCGCTAGAGCAGGACTCCTACCAGGATGTGCTTCTAGCTCTCGCCTGACTCATCAATAGGGCGACCGTTCATCTCAAGCATCATCCCCTACTGTTGACGACTGTTCGGACCTTGTGTCAGTGGCAAACAAACTTACCACCCTGCCGTTAGCCTCTGGTTTGCTCAAGATTATAGGACACCCTGACTTTGCATCTTATTCTTCAGGACTCAGGCTCATCTCCCCAGGTGCACACCAACTATTTTAGGTGCAGAGACTAAACCAACCCCAGACCTACATAGGCTGACTTTCCCATCTCTAACCTTTTGAAACGCTCAAATACGTCAACATTTTCTGTTGGACGAGATGTACCCTTTCACTAGATCACTCCCTTCTTATTCGGACAACATACCCATTTTATTTCCTAGTGGGAACGCAAGGTAGGCAAAACATTCTGGGATCACCAAAGGAATTACATTACCCACTTTGCCCATAAGACCTTGATTGCAAATAAGTTTCAAAAGCAGGGATACAAAACTACTGTCCAGGTGGTATCTTTTTCCAGAAAAACTGCATACCATGTGAACCTACTTCACCCTTGATCGCGTTATCGGAAATCCGATTTCACTGTGGCTGCTTAGCATGGATGTTAACCTGATGGAAGATCTGCCCTCATATCCTCAAGATTGGGGGAACCATTTAGAAAAAAAATTCTACTGGCATGAATTTCCACCTCTACCTAGCAAATTAACTTTTACTTTCTCCATCAGCTCGTCCCTCAATTATCACCTTTTGTACGACCTGACACTCTGTTTGGATTGTGATCAGGGCCCTCCTAATCCTCTTGTATGAAATTGTATTGTAACTGTAAAGTGCTGCGCAAACTATTAGTGCTACAAAAATCCTGAATAATAAAAAAACAGCAGCAGTGCAACATATTTTCTTACATTCTATTTCAGATTAAAAATTGAACAAGGTAACATCATAAAAGGGATTTTTGCGAGTATGTCCTACCAACAGATCAGCTTCCTGACACTTTAAAAATAAAAACATAATTCTAGGGCTGCAACAACCAAACAATGAAATCGATTACAATTGATAATAATCGCTGGCAACAATTCTCCTTATCGATTAGTTGATACCGCAGCTCTGCTTCTCCGTTCTCCTCCCCGCTGCTGCTGGCTGCAGCGGTCTGTGTCCCTTTCAATCCCCGCTGCTCTCACCATTGAATCGGCAGAGGGGACACAGACAGCTCCAGCACCAGCAGGGAGGAGAGACCAGGGTGCCTCTGATATACCCCCCTAGTGCCACTGTTCCTCCGTACTTCTGTTGTTCCTCCATTGCTGCCCCCTCTTCTGCCGGCGGTAAAAAGCCGGCATCAAAGCTCCCTTCAGCAGCTGAGAGCAACTTTCTCCTTTAGTTCCCTCCTCTGCTGATTGACAGCAGACGGGTGCAATAGCCAGCCTGCTATTGGCTATTGCAATTTAAAATAACCAATAACAGGCTGGCTATTTCTCCAAGTCACTACCTGCTGTGGTGACGTTCAGCTGCCTCAGCAGCTGAATCCAGTGATGTGGAAAGGTGACACTAGGCATCTAAAACAGACCTGTCACCTTAAAGAGAACCTGTCACGTCCAATTTGCCATCACATAGGGGGCTTGTGAGACTGAAAGTCTCCAAAGCCCCCTATAAAAACGCACGCATACTAACGTTAACACATGTCGGGTGCACCTACATAGAAAAACAATGATTGCGCTACACACGTCAGGTATCGCTATGTGCGCCGGAGTGAGAGCAATAATTTTCAGGCCAATATTCATGGCCAACTCTAAACTGATGACTGGGCTTTTATAATAAAGGATAGGTGGCAAGTGTCAGTTTTGGTTTGAGCCTGAAAATTCTGCCCCACATTGTGCGTTGTGTTGCCATTCATTCCAAACGCACCTCCCGGCCGCAGTGTGATCACCTGCAATGGAACGTGCGGTACTGCAATACCATGCATTCCAGTGCGAGTGCAAAAAATGTGCATACTGTTTTATTCTGAAGTAAACTTTATTTAACTTCAATTTGTGTATTTTATTTTGAATTAAAGATGTTTTTTTTTTAATCTGATTAAATTGAAACAAATAATCGGCTAACTAATGGATAATGAAAATAGTTAGTCGCAGCCCTACATAATTCTGAATGGGGCAAGTTCCGACTTCGGCCTTACACAGGGTCCAACATCAGCTTGAGCCTCCTTTATTTCCTGACTAGAGGACATGCAGCATTATCTAGCTTTTTCTTAGTCAACCACTTGATGACCGGGGTGTTACACCCACTTCCTGGCCAGGCCATTTTTCAGTAATCAGCGCTGCGGTACTTTGACATTTATTCCGTCATGGAACACTGTACTGAAATTAATTTTATATCATTTTTGGGGGTACGGATAGAGCTTTCTTCTGGTGGTATTTAATCACCACTGGGGTTTTTATTTTTTACTATATTACAAAAAAGTACAGAAAATTAAAAAAAAAAAATCCCTTTATGTTATGAAACATATATTACCCAATTTGTTGGTAAAATATAAAAGACGGTATCATGTCGAACTGCGCATGCGCCCGCCCGAGATTTTTCTGATTTTTTTTTGTTGTTTAAGGTTTTTGCCTATATCTACTGCTTCCTAGCAGTAGATATATGCAAAAAAGCTGAGGGTTTAATAACCCTTTAAATTGTCACATGCATCATACAGCCAACTTTTCGGGGCCACGCAGGGTCCCTTCTACTGTGGTCACTATGTCACCCAGAAGGGAACCTGCGTGGCCCCGAAACGTTGGCTGTATGACGCATGTGAAAATGTAATAAAAAGTGCTTTTTACTTCTTGCATATCAAGTGCCGGTGACTTCTATTATGGACCGCTCTCCATCCTGCCTCACCTATCACAGGAGGCCGAGCAGGACAGTGTGGGAAGAGAGCTCTGCCTCTTATGACAGCTGTCTCTTCCCCGCACCGGCCTCCTGACAGCTTCACTATTCGCTGCTGGGCGCCGGTCTGCGTCCCCTCCGATCCCCGCTGCCTCTGTTGACGCAGGCAGGGGGAGAGCAGCAGGGATTGGAGGGAACACAAACCACTCAGCAGGGAGGAGAGAAGCTAGGGATGCATTGCACTTTGACATTTTGGTACTATTGCCATTTTTGGCCCAAATCGTTGGTGCTTCCCCAGTTTTAATCTTTCTATAACAACTTCCAAAAGACAGCCCACTGCTTGTAGCAGGGCTGAGGGTTCTTAAGGTCTCGTTCACACCTAGGCGTGTTGCATATGCGCGACGGTCGCGCTTTTTCCCCCCGTGATTCGCGGTAAAAAAGTTGCGCGACAAACGCGCGTTTACGAAGGCTACTTGGCTGTATCACAATGGAAACGCGCAACAAAACGGCCCAAAGTAGTGCATGTACCTTTTCAGGCGTGGGCCGTTTTGTAGCGCGTTAGGGACGGGCTCGTTCGTCGAGCGTAGAACACGCTACAAAACGTTCAGGTGTGAACGAGGGCTAAAAAGTTTACGGAGGTAGGGTGCTGTGATGCTTTCAGGAAGCGATGTATATCACCCTGCCGACCCCTCCCTTTTGTCATGATTTGCCTGCATTGCATGGAGAAGCAGAGACCCAGTGAATAGGTCGCTGGGTCTAAAAATAGGGTATGTAATGAAGACAAAGGTTTTAATTTAAAAATGTAAACTTCAGCTTTAATGCCACAACATTACAACTCATTAGCCTCATCTCTGCTGAGAGGCAAATAAGTCTACTAATATGGATTATGGTGTTGAAAAGAAACTTGGATATCTTTGGCCATTCTTCCAGATACCTCTTCAATCCAAGAAGCTAGTACAAATCATACTGCCACCACCCTTACCAATCAAATAGTAAAACAGAACTACAGGCCTCAGATGCTGAGAAGTGGAATTTATCACTGCATTGTTTATATCCGGTTGATGAGGTATGAGGTTGGCTTCATGGAATGGGTTTCCATGGCCGGGCAGCTGCATCCAAGCCTCACATCACCAAGTGCAATGCAAAGCGTCAGATGCAGTGGTGTAAAGCACGCCGCCACTGGACTCTAGAGACGTGTCTGGGTTTGGCGGCTGCCAGGAGAACGGTAGTTGCCTGACTGCATTGTGCCAAGTGTAAAGTTTGGTGGATGGGGAATTATGATGTGGGGTTGTTTTTCAGGGTTGGGCTTGGCCCCTTAGTTCCAGTGAAGGGAACTCTTAAGGCATCAGCATACCAAGACATTTTGGACAATTTCATGCTCCCAACTTTGTGGATGTTTGGGGATGGCCCCTTCCTGTTCCAACATGTCTGCACACCGGTGCGCAAAGCAAGGTCCATGAAGACATGGATGAGCGAGTTTGGGGTGGAGGAACTTGACTGGCCTGCACAGAGTCCTGGCCTCAACCCGATAGAACACCTTTGGGATGAATTAGAGCAGAGACTGCGAGCCAGGCCTTCAAGTCCATCAGTACCTGACCTCAAAAATGCATTTCTGGGAAATGGTCAAACATTCCCATAGACACACTCCTAAATCTTGTGGACAACCTTCCCAGAAGAGTTGAAGCTGTTCTAGCGCAAAAGGATGGGCCCACTCAATGTTGAACCCTATGGACTGAGGCTGGGATGCCATTAAAGTTCATGTGCGTATAAAGGCAATATAGTGTATGTGCAGGAAGTTGTCCTAGCGCAGTGAAAAATTGTGCCCTGGTTAAGCCGTGACATTTACAAGTCCAACTTTCTGCATTTGAGGTCTGAAGTCAATCGGTTTACAGTCTGATGAGGGTGGGGAGAAGGCTAAACATGATTTATTTTTTTCATTTTACAATAAGAAGCTGCTATGGCTCATCTCTCACAATCAAGTGTATTTTTCAAGGCACACACAGCACTGTGTATGATGCTGCACACATCTTCTTTGCCTTGCCGCTAGTATCATCACTTCTGACAGGCTGCCTTTAACACTAGCTAACTGGAAAGCCCCAATATCAGCAGATCCCATAGCTGTGAAAAACCCCCCAAAAGGAACTGAACTCTGGAAGCTGTGCCCAAGAAAAAGGCAGGCAGAGGACAAAGGTTTAATCACCAGTATTGCTGTTGTCTTCCTGCGGCTGATCTTTCCCCAATACTGACTTACCGTTCCTTGTTCTGCACTGGCTCTCTGTTTGGAGGTGGCCATCTTGGTAGAGGCAGGGCTTTGCTTCACGTCAGAGCCTCCAGCAAGGAGAACAGTGAGCAGCACAATAGGGACATCACAAAATCCCACAAAACCAGCAGTGCCTTAGATCAGTGATTATCAACCTTGGTTAGATCAGGCCTGGTAAATTCTTCCAAAACCTTCCATGCCTCAAAAGTAAAAACACAAAATATGTATTTAAAATGCCTTAATAGGGAAAACAGCACCCAAGTAATTGATGTAATGTGGGGACATTTCCCATAGGGGAGAACAGGCCCTCAATTCAGTGGTGTATGTGGGATAGTGTCCCGCTGGAGAATAGCCCCTTAATTCATGTGTGTCAGAGATACTGTGGATCCTAGGGGGAGAATAGCCCCTCGATTCATTTCAGCCAGTGCGATCATGGTCCCCAAGAAAGAACAGCCCCTCAATTTAGATGAGTCAGTGGAATAGTGGACTCCAGGGGAAATTAACCCTCAAATCATTGGTGTCAGTGGAATAGTGGCATCCAGTGGAAAATAGCCTCTCAAATTAAAGGTCAATGGAATAGTGGCCTCCAGTCCCCAAATCTCCATGGGAGGATACTCCCTTAATCACTGGCATCATCGGTGGTACTTACCTTAAGTACAGGAGCCACATGGAGACTGATGATCCCATGTGCCTCTTCTAAAGACGTCTTTGTGTGCAGGTGCAGCAGCGCCAGAACTACTTATCTGTGGGGTGCAGATCAATCCCCCCCAAAGAGTAATTTCAGGCAGGATCCTGTCATTCCTTAGGAGTAAAAGCAGTACCCTGGCTTTTTTGGTGGCACAGTGGGCCCCAAGGTCTAGTGTGAGCCTACAGTGACCAGAGTAACTATGAGAGCAGAAAGGAAGCTGTGGCTGGGCAGGAGGGAGGCTGCGGCCTGGTGGTGGAGAGTACTACCTTAGATTTCACACTGCAGATATACATTATGAGGCTGTATGGACGTTCCTAGACGCCCTCACATACCAGGAAGTGACTGCTATGTTTCAGGAAGTCTTCCACATAAATTGTACATTGTGTGGGTAATGTGTTAGGGCACATTGCTAAGTGTTCACTATAACACGGTCCACTTTCACTTTGTGAGTCCAGCGGCACTGTGAAGTCATAACAAAGAAGTCTCTAGAACTAGTGTATGTAGAAGGGAGAGGCATGGAGCACAAATGACATGCCATGATTCTCCGTGTACCTCATATCCTGTCACCACACAGGAACCGAACAAATCCGGATCACTAATACACTGACGGCATGTCACTAGAGCTTTTTTTAGAGGGGGACAGGAGGGCACACAAGCCATGAGAAAAGCTTTCTTCCGAATGAAAGAGCCGCCCTATCCCCCATTACCTTCATCAGCCTCCTGCTGGCCGCCATCTTGGATCTGAGGGGACTTCCCACAATGCATCGCGGCTAAAGGGCCAGCACTTCCTGGTGCGCCCAGAGCGGGTCACCGGGCAACCGAGCAGAGCGGTTAGAAAATACTGTTTAGTTGAAGCGGGCGGCCTCGGGGTATCACTCACTGCTTTCCCTGCCTGTCCTCAGGGGTTCCCGGGTGGTGTGGGCTGCCTGGGGTGTTTCATATAAACCGCTGTTACCCCTGGAACGAGATAAAACCCTTTATTACAGTAACCCTGTCATGACAGACATATGGAGGCTGCCGTGTTTCATTTATCCTGTACATGTTAGTAGTCAGGCTCTTCAGCTGACTCTTGCGATTCAATGAGTGAGATTTATAAAAACGAGCAGAAAACATCTGAAGCAGTTGTCCATAGCAACCTATGAGCTTCTCTCTTTCATTTTCAAAGCTTAAAAGAGAACTATGGGGTAATCTTTTTATCCCATAGGTCTCTTCAGGGTCACGGGAGGACATATACTAACCTCCTCCCGTGACCCAAAGCTCAGTATATAGCGGGCTACAGCTTGCTATATACTGAGAGCGCTGCAGTCGGGACGGATCCCAACAACACTGTCGAGACCCACCTAGTAGCTGATTGACAGCTGGCTCTGACTATCTAGATTGAAAGCCAGCTATGCCCGCCCACTCCCCCATCCATACCTCCACTTAGCGCTGGAGGGGGGGATCCCTGCGGGGAGCGGTGACTGACAGTCACCACCCTCAGCAGGGAGATGATCAGAAAGTGAGCAAAAGACGGTATGTGTTCGCTCACCTCCCAATCAATAGAGCCGACCTGTTACGGTTTCATTGTTACAGGTCGGCTCTAACTATGTAAATCACTCACTTCATAGTTCTCCTTTAACTAAACAAACTGAAGAGAAAAGCTGATTGGTTGCCACAGGCAACGTCTGCAGATTCTGTCTGCTCCAGTTGTGATAAATCCCCCTCCTATAGGTTTGAGTCATTTGTGTTTTACCTCTGGCTCCCTAAACTGCAGGTTTATAAGGTGAGATTCAGTATTGAAGTTACTGGGACAGCACAACAGCCAGGCAGATAGCATTTTCAGAAGGAGTCGGTAATGGCAGCAATCATGTTTCTGTCATGACAATGCTATGTAAAGGACAACTGTACCTTTCATACAATTGTCCTTTAATCATTTCCCCCGATCCGCTTAGTGCAGTCCGCCAGCTTAAAGTAGAACTATAGCCAAAACCTTTATTTTAGTTTTGGATAGAGTTAGGGAGGGTTATGGCCCCTGTCAGCTTTTTCTTTCTTTTTGCCATCTGTGTCCCATTGTCTGAAAGCCACAACATGAAGTGAGAGGAAATCTCTGGTGGTCAGCAGGGTCACTAGAACTAGGGTCCCCTTTGGAAGATTTCCCATCTATTCCTGTTCTGATGACAACGAACAATTTGGGATTTTCTTTCAGTTTCAGGACAGAGTGAACCCCCTCTGTGGGACACAGACATCAATAAAAACCTGACAGGTGATCTAATCCTTCTCTACTCTATCACTTCAGTTGTAATTTAAATAACTTCCTCCTTGACCCAGCGATATTCATTGTGTGGCGTTTTCTGGCACCGCATAACCAGCTGAAGGCCTCCTCATAAGCTGGCCTTACATGCATACAAATCTAACAGTTTGCTCCACGCATGGTAAATGGAGGAATCCCCCTGCCAGGCTGTACAGTATACTGACAGCGTGAGCCCCCTGCTAGCAGAATACCCCAACAGTGACAGTAGCTGATTTGTTGAAGGAGCCAGGTGGAAAATTGACAGAATAGCGATTTCAACCCAAGTCCATTGAAAATTGGCTTTTGTGGTGACGGCAGGGCCACCCACACCTCAATTTATGGTGAATTCAGCATCAATTTGGGGTTCTGTGCAACTATTCAGTGTTCTGTGCAACCATTCAAAGTTCTGTGCTGGGCCCCATATATTATTATGTTTCCGTGTTTGCTGATGATACTAAAATTGTTATGGTAATAGACACGGACTTAGACATCATAACATCACACGAGGACCTGAATAAAATAGGGGAGTGGCAACTATATGGCAGATGAGGTTTAATGTTGATAAATGTAAAGTAATGCACTTTGGGGTTAAAAATAAGAAAGCGGAATACACATTATTGGACACTCCACTAGGGAAGTCAGAAATGGAAAGAGATTTGGGGGTCATTGTAGACCACAGACTGAATATTAGCTTGCAATGCCAGTCTGCGGCAAATAAAGCAAGTAGAGTACTATCTTGTATTAAGAAGGGGATGTATTGCAGAGACAAGGCTATAATTGGGACACTTTATAGATCACTGGTTCGGCCACATCTGGAGTATGCGGTCCAGTTTTGGGTACTAGTCCACAGAAAGGATGTCCTTGAGCTGTGAAAATTGTAGGTTGCTTCACATTGGAGGTCAGTGGAGATGTGCCCATGTGCAGTGGTTGACAGTGGAGTAACCATTTACACTAGTGGTCAGTGTAGTGCCTTCTTGACTTGTGTGGAGAAAAAAAACAGTTCTGAAACAAACAAAAACACACACAAGACCCACATTGTACAAGCAAATAAGTGTGATCTATCCTGGGGACTAGGAATATCCTACAGGGGAGTCTCTTGTGTCCGCAAGACCCCTTTAGGTAGAAGCACTCAAGGCTTAGGTAAATCGGGGCAGTTGCTGCCCACTTAGCAGAGGCTCAAGATCCCCCGTTACCCGTGCGCTGCTACAGGGTTGGGATTCGATGTCTGGTCACATGACCACCCCATAGCACTGATACACTTGGAATAGAGATTCCAGTGATAAAAACCTGTAGATTCACTGCTTGTTTATTATGTAACATGTACACTCCATTGTTTAGCAAGCTGGTGACATTATTATTATTTTTTGTTTGTTTTAATAGATTTTTATTGAGAAGTAGCACATAAACAAAACATAATACATAACAGTCTGATGCAGGGATGGTTCTCACCTTACTTAAAGGAGAACTATGAGGTAAGTGCTTTTCACTCACCTCATAGTTCTAGCCGACCTGTGACAATGAAACTGTCACAGGTCGGCTCAGTAGATCGGGAAGTGAGCGAACACATACCGGCGTTCGCTCACCTCTCGATCCTGTCACGGCAGAGAGCCGCGACAGGGGAGGGGCTGGATTCCCCCCTCCGATCCTCCAGTGCTGACTGGCGGAACGGGAGGGGGCGGGTACAGCTGGCTCTGCCTCTAGATAGGCAGAGCCAGCTGTCACTCACGCAGCTGGACGGATCCAGACATAATTGTTGGGATCCGTTTCAGCTGCGGCGTCTCAGTATACCGCAAGCTTATTGTGACGGGAGGATGCTGGTTTGTGTCCTCCCGTTACCCTTAGGAGAACTATGGGGAAAAGCCCTGACCCCATAGTTCTCCTTTAACACAACAAAGACAGTAGTAGGATAAAAGAAGCTGAAGAAAATACCATAGACTTACACAAAAATGGATATACAGTAAGATAGCCATTAAGTGGTGGGAAAGGGACCTAGACTGAGAATGGCCAATGTTTGAAGTTCGATATGCGCGCCCCATCGATGTTACACAAGCAAAACCTATTTTGGTATGCAGGAGACAAGGTTGGTATTCAAGTACAGACAAGGTTCTTGGTACATGAACCTGTCAGAGCATGGTGACAGAAATGCAAGGATATTGTGAGAAGGGGGCTGGTTGAAGTTCAAAAAGAGAGGTGATAAGCAAGCGAAAGAGAAGAAATGTCCAGGGCAAGAGTAAAGTAGTCATATGGGGGAAGTTAGGAATGAGTCCAGGGGTGCCTAGGTGCAGTCACATACTGTTTGTGATGACACAGGTATTTAGACAACAGTGCCCAGAAGGCAATACAATATACAGAGTGTCCAGATTTTTGGGAATTTGTGCATCAGCCACCTAAAATTGCTGCAAGCTTTTCACTCAGGATGTACCAGGGTAGTTTTAGTATAACTTGAGTGAGAAGTGGGTGTTGCTGACCACCAAGCTATAGCCAACACTTGTTTGGTGTCTCTGTGTGTAACAGTATAGACTATATGCAATAGATTGCACTCTGGAATCTCTTTATTTGGGTCAATACCACCACGTGTGTAGGAGAGTACCTGTTGTTTGACACCCTTTAAAGCAGGGGTCTCAAACTCAACTTACCGTGGGCCACTACACAAATATTTTAGTCCGGTAGGGGGCGCTTATCAAATTTCATGCTTCAAAAAAAATAAATATGGTACCAGTGTTAATGTCTACGCATGTTACAAGCGGCAACTGTCACCCATACAGGTTAATGATCAGATGACAGCCTCTGCATGTAAATGCCTGCACACCGCATGTAATGTGACTGCATGTGGTTAAGAATCAATCACTCTCCCTGGATGCACAATCATGCATCCAGGGAGAGTGATTGTTTTTGTAACTGCTTGTAATCATATAACATACCATTACATGCGGTGGCTGTCACCTGATCATTAACTTGAATGGGTGACAGTTGCTGCATGTAAATGCCAGATTAGGGATTCCTGCTGCAGGAAAATGCAAGTTCCTGGCACAGGAATCCCTAATCGCACCAGAAATATAGGTGTGAATGGGGCCTAATATACACACACAGAAAAATACAAACCTCCCTGCACAAACACGAATGCACAAAAATACACTCCTCAACGTCACCTACCCCCCGCACAAGTAAAATAATACACCCCCCGCACAAAAAATAATACACTCCCCCCCGCACGCACACAAAATAATACCCTTCCCCCCGTTTCAAGCCCCCC